TTGCGGTTGCATCTGACTTTTGGCCCGTAACATTGGATTTAGGTGGTTTGTTCGGTGATTGCAATATACCATTCGACTCGTTGCGGCGAAGAGAGCAACGGACATCAGCGGCATCTATCGATCGAATCGCTCGATCGGAAAGCAGACCTTACGGTTTAGACACGTTCGACGGCAAAGCTATTCGGTTGATACCGGATTGGCACGAGTTAATCGACACAAAGGACGTCTCGTTAGTCAGAATTAAACGGATTATGGTCCGAGGCCTGTGCCATCACGATCGATTCGTGGCAGCTACCCCGCATATCTAGTTTGCTTTCGATTCGTATTTCTCATTTCGTAATTCAGTTAATTGATTTGATGCTTAACGAACTATCTACGAAATCCTTTTGTTCATAGTGATTAAGTAACTGTTTACATTTTCCGTAAAAACGATTACGCGAATAAAAAAAAAATCGAAATAAAAATATCGATAAGGTAGAATATCAAATTGTCCGAGCGTCGATTATTGAAATTTCGGTTATTCAAATGACGGATATGTATACAATGTATTTAAATTAGCATGTATAACGATGTTTATACGCCTCAGAATACGTATACTGGAACAGTATCAGAAAGAATTTATTTTGTATAATTGTATTATTCATAATAAACATCCATATTTGAAAATTTTTAAATTCTAATTTTTTTATTGTTTCTCTCTCTTTTTGTTTTTGCCATTCATTTTTCACATTTTATCACTTGTTATCCAGTTAGTTTAGATAATCGACGTTCTGTTGTATCTTCATTTTTATCATATATCGATTTTTTTTTTAAAATTCGAATTAAGAAAAATTAAATATCGAATCCATCGCATTTTCTATCGATTTATAAAAATTTATACAAATAAATTTTCAATCCTTAGATACATAAGCAGCTTAATCCAGATCTTCTATAATTGAATATTTCATAATAATTTCTTTCGTGTAATCTTTCTTGTATTAATCTATTTAATTATCGTTAAAAGATTATTTAATAAAATTGTTCATCAATGATGTAATTTTGAATACTTTTGATACATTTAAAAATGTTAAATTTTAGAAAAATTTATGAAAAATGCTAGATGTCTTATGCAAATATTTAAAGTCTTAAAAATTCCTAATAAACTTCTATAGATCCCATTATTTGAAATTACTTACTCAAGAAATCTAATTTTCAAAAATGAGTACACAAATACTTGCATAAAATATAAAACGAAACGAAAAGTCACGTTTGCACGAAATATCAACATCTAATATCAACAAAAGAGATACAATGTCCTTTCTATTACATTGTTTGACGGTATTTGAAAATTTTTGAAATATCGTCAGACAAGTTCGACGATGGAACGTGACTGTGGTTCTGTACGGACGTAGAATTTTCATTATTTTTTAGCGGATAACGCACGCCAACCCGTCTACCAACGGGGGCATCGATTGAATTTCAAACAAAATTCAAATTACGTTTAATTTGGTTAGCCAACGAACAAGCAAAAGCGAAGTGGAGCGAAACGCGTGTGTACTGGTTGCGTGCAGTTTGGATTCGTAGTTCGGGGGATTCGGTACGTTATACGGATTCTATTATCGACCTGCAGCCACGGTTCATTAAAACGACATAAAATTTACAAATGGAAATGTGCTTTTTGTGTTTCTTTCGATTCTTTCTATAAATATTCCATCTTTACTTATTTGTACTTTTAATAGATTTTTACTATCAATTCGTTTGATGCAACCATCGACTGATGAAGAAATAATGAATGAAGGAATATGTTAATCCCTCGACAATTCGTATTTTGTATTATCAATATTATAAGACGAATGAAATGGTTTATAAGAAATAAAATGGAAATAATACTTGTGGCATTGGTTTATTTAGATGAAAAATACGCAAGATATGTAATTGATGTATTAAATTAATTTTTATAACTATGTGGAACTTTTCAAAACAGTTCTTAATATTCAACTGATTTGTTTGAAAATAAAAAGTTATTTTTAGAAAGGTATACAAGTAAATAATCAAAAAATATTTAATTTTATATTTCATTTTCAATTCTTGTTTTTTTTTTTTTTTAATTACACTTAAAAATTAAAAAGAAATTTCTATTTCAAAGATTTATACATAGAATTATTAGAAGAACTAAAATATATCGATACTTTTTGTTTACCATTATAAATGCTACATAAAATTCTTGAAAGCAACAAATTATTTCTAACGTATCCTTCTTGTTTAGATAAATCATTATAATTTTCATGTATTTTCTCGAATGAAAGAAAATATAATTTGGAATTATTTTAACATTATATGATGAATCAAGGATGTAAGATTAAAATGGCGTTGAGAAATCGAATACAAATTTTTTGAAGAAGCAAAGAAATTCACATATATGTTGGAAAATTATGTTGAGAAATAATATTCGAATGTATTCTTTTAACAATAAAAAAGATAGTAATTTATTTATTGACAATTATTATAGTATGTTAAAAATATAAATATACTTACTATGTTTTGCAAAAAAAGTTCTTTGCAAAATAATACAGATTTAAATATCCTTTTACTATAAAATTTTTTCTTTATTTCTTTGATATTCTCTAATAATTTTTAATTAAGAAAATTTTGGAATATGTGAAGAAAATAAAAATCAAATAGAATAAAATAGTAAGTGATATAAAATATTTTAATTAATTGCAGTGATATAATGATAAGCTAAATTATCCAAATTATAATAATTTTTATCATGATATTACATTCAAAATGCAATTGTGCATTGCTTTATTGTTATTGTTATTAATGAAAAACAATAAATTTTTATGATTCTGAATAATATTTTTAACTGATCCAATTAATCACAATATTTTTTGCTATTGACAGTGTAGTTAGATAAAAAAATTCAAAAATAAAAAAACTCCTTTGTAATTTCATCCACGAAACAACAAAAATTTTGTTAATTATCGATTACATTTCTAATAATTTTTGTAATTTTTTTTTTCTTTCTTAAAATTAATATTTCTTTCTTTGATGCATTCTAAAATATGTATTACGTATATGCCCTTGGTAAAGATTATTAATTATGGTCAGATTAAGAATAACTGGACATATTCCAGTTAAAATTAATTGCGCTACTCTGAGACACGGATATGTTGTACGCTGACCATGCTGTTTGAGATAATAGATGGATATTGCGGCTAGATAATAAATGGATAAACGTAACCACAGCTGTCACCGATAATGGACTGTATTAAGTGTTAGAGGAATAAGAAAACTGAAAGCTAACTTCTACTTAACCGAGTTTAACCGAAAAAAAAAAAAATTAATGTTTTAATTAATATATTATATAATGAGTAAGGAATGAAATATTACGATCTTATAATTCAATTTTTGTTTAAACATTGTTAATATCTATTATTTTAATGAATTAATTTTTATAATATATTTAATGATGAAAGAAATAACGTATCGTAGAATTATATCAGAAATTAAGTGTATCATAATTTAATATCGTTTGCAATAATTATATACTTGTTAAATGAAAAATAATAAGATGTAAAATATGTAAATATATTATAATTTTGCAACAAATTTCAAAGGAATTATAGATTATGCTGCATCTATAATTATATCATACATTATATTTTATATTATAAAAAAGATATTAAAAATTTCGTTTGCTTCTTCACAAATAATTATTTATTTTGAATATGTAATGTTATATAATTATGAATTTATATCATAATTATCAAAATACGTTAGATGTGATATTTCTAATTTGAAAAAAATTATATTTTAGAAATATTATAAGTGATAATAAATAAATTAATAGTCGATATTGACAGCCAATCATGAATTTAATGATTTGTAATACAGATACTCTTCCTCGATTCATACAATCATCTCTTTGTTTATATTTAAAAATTCTTTCTTTGTCTTTTTCACATTTCAAACTACACCATTCTCTCTTTACACAGGACCAAATATGGTCAACCGGTGGATTTTTCCGATAGACCTGATTTCTTTTATTTGTCGAGTCTTTCACAACTTTCACTTAAAATTACGCTACTATATTATAGAGTACTACTGCATAACGTATTGTGAGAACAAATTTTTTTTAAATCTGATACATAAATTGTTTACGTTAATATTATATGATAATTTTTGTAATAATGCAATGAAAATCTGCGTACGTCTCAAATTTAAGTCAATATGTACATTATAAAAAGAATTTTTTTTTTCATTTTCTCATTATGAAATTAATACTACAAATATCAGTAAATAACTTGAATTATTTTAATAGATTTTACATGGAGAAATTATCTGCATTAATGGAATATCTTAAGCTAATTTTTTTTAATTTTTTTTACAATATATGTCATATCGATTCAAAGTATTGTTCAAAGTATAGGATATATATAAAAAATTATGAAATTTGATCTTTTCATAATAATTGCATTATGTAGATCTCCTGTTTATAAGGGTGTATTTATTTCAAAATTGGTGAAAATCAAAAGATATAAAAGAATAGATATCAATTAACTTGATAATTATACATATTTTTTATTCATATCATGATATTTTTATATATCATAAAGGAAGAATGTATTAAAAAATGATATAATAAAAATATATAATATATAATAATTAAGCTTATAATCAAATATAAATATTGAAATTTAAAAAAGAAATATGTATAGGTATTTTCAGCAAAAGTATAAATTTAAAATTTTGTAATATATAAGATACTTTTTATCAAATCTTCAGGAACATAATAGTAGTAAGTAAAAATAAAAAAAAATGTTACGAAATTTTTGCTTTTTTATAGATGTATTGAACTATGTACTAGCATCAACTTTTTTTTAAAAAAGTTATAATAAATAATGATAATAATAATATAAACGATAAGATGAAAAATTGCAAGTGTAAATTTTTTCAGTTAAATAGAAAAAAACGAACTAAAAGTAGATTCTAATCTAATGTTTTATATTTTGTTACAGATCAATGTGGAAAATGTCGGGCCAGCACCAAAAGATTAAACCTAAACAAGTATTGCAAAAGAGATTATGGTAAGTACAAATTGAAAATAAATGCCATTATTAAAAAAAAATATATTCTATATAAATTGCATTTTACAAATTTAGATATTTTTTTATAGACTTATTTTCGTAAAACTTTATAAAGTTTTGTTTAACATCAAAAATATCGAAATATTAAATTTTGTTTTCTGCTATAATACAAATATTTTTATTTCTCTTAGTGATTAAAAGAAAGGAAATTTATTCCTAATCTTCTTAAATATTTAAATAATTAGTTCAAATATTGATAAAATTTTATATATTCTATATTATTTAAATAACAATACTTTTTAATTATAATTTTTTAATTATTCTACTAATTATTCTGTTATATTTAAATATCTATTTCTATATTATTTAAATAATATATGGAATGTTTCTGTTTAAATATTACTCTCTAACCTCCATTCATTGTTAGTTCTCGTTCATTAATATTAACATAATCATATCTTTATGTCTCATCAATGAAATTAATAGAACTTATTATTATATCTATTACGCTTATTTTCGATTTATTTTCTATGCAATCAATAAAGCAAATAGCATTTCTCGACTTCTGGTCACAGAAGTGAAATGATAAATAGTACTACGTATGGCATGAAATAAATTTATTCGTTGCACCATAAAGGATACTGGTTTGTCAACATTCATATACGAAGTAACCATAAATAGAACAACTCTTTCTATTTCCTTGTATATCGAAATAGGCAAAAAAAGATAAAAAATAAGATTTAAATTATATCCTTTCGAACTACATTTGGAAATAAACGTAGCTGAAACGTAAAACGAGACTAATGAAACGTAATAAAAAAGAAAAAAAAAAAATTAAAAAAAAAAGAAGAAAAAAATATTTCAATTTTTGTATATTATAATTATTTTGATTTTCTTGATTTTTTTTTTTTTATTTTAGCTATTCTGGGCAGAATAACAGACAGGCACAAAAAGAACGATGGCTCCTCAGCTGGAACAAGCGTTTCCGGTTCAGTTTGGATACGCTTCACTTTGAATGTTGATTTCATATATAAAAAATCTCCAAATTCGAGGATTCGTCGTGGCGATGTGTTCCTCTACGTACATTCGGCTGATTTGGCCTGTAGATGCCCAAAAATCAAGCCAAATAGGTAAGTTATTCATTGTATAAATGTTGTAATGATTCTGATAAGATCTTTATTTTCTAAAATATCTTCATAATTCCACGAACAAAATATCGTGGAAAATAATAACACTACGCATAAATAAAATAGTTAAAAACAGCAATTAAAATTTAGAAAATTAGAATTAGATCTTATCTAATCATAATCTTCCTTTTTTCAAACTATTGATACTTGATAAAGAGGCATCATTTTTTATTAAAATAAATTTAATAAATTTCATCTAGATATACGAATGAAAAAACACAGATAATTTTGTAAAAAATCATTACATATCAGATTTTGATTATTACATATCAGACATTAATCAAATGTAATATAATATTAAAAAGAAACTTAAATATTTACATGTTTTATAATTAAGCATTTAAATTATCATATTACCGATTCCAATTTAAAAAGCTAACAGAAAAATTTATAAAAATAGAAATTATGTGTATAATATGTATATATATTTCTTAAATTTTTGTTTTCTGAATTTCTTCAACTCCATATTGATTTGAAAAAACAATCATGTTAGACGAAATTCTAACTTTTCGCTTCCATAAATCGTAACCAGAACCACGTGTCTTATCCGGTATTTGTTGGTCAACTTTTCCTCGATTATACATTTTCTTTGCTCTTTAGAACTTGAAACGAAACTTGAAAACAGCAATATTATCTTATACCTATACAACTTTTTTAACATCCGTACCATTGAAACTTAAAAGTGATATTTCGATAAGAATGTATTGCATACGGAGAATATCGTGACAATATGAATTCTTTTTACTTAATAATAATTCAATCGAGCTTATACATAGGCTGTTGATTCATAATTTTCATAATTACAATTTCGTCAAACCCAAAAAGACGAATATTATTACTTCGACGTGTTTGAAGAATTTCGAAAATTAAGATTAATTAAAATTTCAATTCTTGATAAAAAAAAATATCTACTTTTAAAAAAAAGCAGAGTTTTCAAAAGTTTCGAATTATACGAGATTCGAATATATACGAAAATCTGTCAACATCAATCTTCTCAAAAATTACTTCGCATTGTCGTATTAATCTCGAAAGAGTTGAAGGATGATGAACGATGATGAACGATTAAAAAAATATCAATTTTCAGGTCGTATTTGATTCTTGGCCAAGAGAGCGACGGCGGAGGTCAAGGTGGGCTGACAGTGACGCAACGATCGATCGTGATCGAGTGGCGCGACGAGTGGCATCGTAGAATGCGACGTTTCCAGCGGAGGCGAAATCGTGCCATTGAACTAATTCTCATCGCATCGAGGAAATTTAGACGAGGAGAAAGAGGGGGAGATGAAGCGAGCAGCAAGGAGAGAGAGAGAGAGAGAGAGAGAGGAGGAGAAGAGAAGAGAGACAAGCAAGAGAGATAGAGAGAGAAAAAAAACAAGATAGAAGCTTAAAACTTTTGCCCGTATACGTATTTAGAAAAGGGTGCACATTCATTTTCAAAAAAACTGCCAATAGTTGTAACTATCGCATACCTAACTTCTCGCACGAAATATAAAAATACTCTCGACGACGTCCTAAGATTAATGATAAGTAAACGAAGAAACGGAATGAAATGTAGGTGAGAGATGCACGTATCGAAAATTGATTTCGTGTCTTTTTGTATTTTTCTGTTGTACAGATTGCTTTTTAATTTATTTATATAAGTCGAGAATTGAACATCTATATAGAAGAAAATTTATTTATTTTTTTTTCTTTTAATTGGAATATTCCATGATTTTTATTTTAATACATTGATTTCTTCGTCATGGTATATTGTGGTAAATACATTTGACGTACATTGATCGAAATATATTTCATATTGAATTATAATAATTTTATACATCTTACTATTTTATCTTATCTTATTGTTTCGACATTTGTTTAAAATATCTATTTGCAATTACCAAAGTAAATGATTAAAATTCATTTCATATGTATCACAGGATTATTACGTTAAAAAAATGTTTAAAAATAATATTTTCAGGAAATAATTAATTTATGAATTAATTTTCTATACCGCAAATCTTTTAATTATTCGAGCTACTGTTATTTTGTTGTTATATTCACATTAAAATTATTTTTACAAATTCTATAAATATAAAATATATTTTTACTATATTTATTGAATTTATAAATTCAATTAATTTATATATATATATACACATTTCTGTGAACAAGATAATCATAAATTTAATAAATATAGTATAGTATTTTGAGTAAGATACATGTACATAGAATGATTTTCTAATATAAAATTTCAGTTAGTTTTAAATTTTTTATATTTCTTCTATATAGAAATTCGTATTTTTAAACAAACGTATTTATTATTTTTGTAAAAGATGTACCTATTATTTTTTAAAACAATAACATTTTTAATAGCGTGAATAATACAAAAAAAGAATGCGCAATAAAAAAAAATTTATCGTACAATGTGTATTCCATTAAAAATTTCAATTTATTTTATAAAAATCTATCACAATAGGACGAAAAAAAAAATAAATAAATAAATTTCCTTAGTTTTAAAAAAAAATTATGTAAAACGTCGTAAAACGAAAATTTCTCACCTGCATTTCATCGAACAAAAAATGCAATATGTTGTACTAAATTAGACTTAGCATTTATATCGACATATACATTTCCTATACATTTATAATTTATATGTATTTCCCTTTCTATTAATGCTATATTGTAAACCAAAAGAAACTAGGATTGTACTTTATCGTATAACGAAGGAAAAAAAAATGTTACGTTTTGTAACTTAAATAATTCGTAAATTGATTTTTATATACATGTTTACGAATCTAATATTTTTCGTCCTCCTTGCTCAAAACACGCGAAACACTGTTATAAATAAGGATACACATCATTGTAATGATACGAATCGAATGTGCAGTATTGGATAAATAATTACAATTAGTTGTATCGCATATCAGTTGTATAATCATTACTATTCCGTACAAATGTAATTTTGTTATTGTATGATATCGACATGTATATTGCAAATGAGAAAAAAATATGCAATATTAACACTGGTAAATGGAAAAATAGCAATGCCATATATATATATATATATACACATATATTAGTGAATTCATAATGTTTTTCACTTTAATTTTGATTAGAGATTCAATTAAAGATTGATATTTTCAAAATCATAAAATTAATGTAATGTAAGTAAAAATGGACAAAATAGATAGGTATTCATTTCATACGATGATTAGGAAAAACTGTTATTCCAGTTAAAATTGCATTTAACTGTATGTTATAAGCATAACTTGTTTATCTGATTCTTAAAATATATGTAATTGTAATTCCTTAAATCAACATTTTTATTATTTCTAGTATATGTTTTTTTTTTATATAAATGAAAAATGAATGAAAAAAAAATTATATGCCATAAGGTGTATCTTCTATGATGTAAACAGATTATCATCAACAATCTTAATGCATTTAATATACGTATAATAGCAATATAAAAATTTATGTGTTACACATAAATTTGATGATTGAGAAAGATTATATACGTTTAATTTAATTGTATTAAATATTACAGATTCATTCACAATATTCAACAATTTATTTCTCTATTCACTGATCTTAAATAATTATTATGTATTAAATCATAAAAGAAAATTAAATGGATTATTTAGCACAATTAAAGTGCTATTATTATATGATATCCTTTATATTATATACAAGACAATTTAATGATAATTATTTAAGATTGATTAATAACAAAATAAATTATAGAATATTTATCATAATAAACTTAAACATAAACTTAAGACATACATATCTTTCTCAGTTATTCAAGAAAATATTCAACAAGAATTCAGATAAACAAGGTTTTATTACATACATTCTTTTTTTTTTTTTTTTTTTTGTACAAATCGTATCGAGTTTTAAAATCCTGTATTATCATGTACATCAAGATCTTTGGGTTTACAAAATTGTTCCTGCAAATTTACAATAATCCATCTCTCTTATCGAAGTTGTACCATCAATTAGAGTAAGGTTTTACAGTGTTGTAAATGGTCTTTTCCTCCCCAGTATTTGGACTTCCCATTTTTCTCATGTACCTTCCTTCTTCCTTTTTTTTCTTTTTTTTTTTTTTTAATTTATTTATTCTCCTCTCATTTGGTTATCACAAATCGATCACATTTATAAAGATATATACGCGTACGTTGAATGTAGATTTCCTTGTAAATTTTCTATATAAATTATTAAGATTCATTTCTAGTATATATTATTATTATTATTATTATTATTAGTATTAGTATTAGTATTATATCGGTAGCAGTAGTAGATAATAATGGTAGTTAAAAATTATACGAAAAAAAAAAAAAGTATAGAGGCTAAGCTCGAAATATGTCGAAATCGACTATTCATCAGGAACGACCGGTTACTACTTAATGCGAAGAAAAATTATCGTAACTGTCGTCATAAACTGTCGTCGAAATATCGCGATATTTAAATATTGACCCTATATTGTTGTCGTCATAAAAGCATTTGAGGACAAGGCATGGAGGGAAATGATATTTCACTTGATTTAACGTAATAATTTTAATAAGCTTTATCGTGAAGTTTCGTAC